TCCTTTCTATGTCGTCGTCAGTGTGCCCGAGTGGTCTAAGGGGGGGGTAGACTCAAGTTCTACTGTGTTCCGCACTCGTGGGTTCAAATCCCACCGCTGACACGTAGGCACCGTCCACTGGACGTTACCTGCTGCTCAGCAAGAACGAAACGGCAGCATGTGAGACACCGGCCAGCACTAAGCGAGGCAGTAAGCACGACAAGTGCTGAAATCTTTTGGACGACTTCGGCGTCTTGTGCGTATGCAGAAGTCGTATCGTCAATCCTCTGGCAAGTGCCACTGATGCTTCTGTAAAGGTAGTCTCCGACGGGATCGAACCCGCAATCTCCCGCTTCGTAGGCGGATGCCTTATCCATTGGGCCACGGGGACGCTTCACAAGTGACACACCGCAACCAGCCCAAAATGGGCCTTGCCGGAGATCGATTCCGGGACCTCTCGCACCCTAAGCGAGAATCATGGTATCCACCCAATCAGTAAAAGATTTTCGCAAGGTATACGTGTTGCGACCTGTAGAGTGGAAACGCCACATCAGGATTCTGGCACGTGATCCTCCCACTATCAGAAGCAAAGGTTTTTCCCCGCTCTGTTATCCAGTCTGGGACGGTGCACCGTTCCTTAGTGACCTTGGTGTGAACTCTCACGGGAGCTCACCACAATGTCGACTCCTGGTTTGAAACGGGCGCGCCATCCACACCCTGTGGATAGTGTCGCCACCACACGTGTCACAACCCTCGTACCTCACTACCTGGCAGAAGCGTTCCGTTACAAGTTGGCGCCACCCCACCCGGTGATGCATAGAGCCTGTTCGCACTGTGTGTCGTGTGATGTGTCGTGGTTGTTGTGTTGTTGTGTGTGTGTTTGTTTGTGTTTGTCCTTTCTATGTCGTCGTCAGTGTGCCCGAGTGGTGTAAGGGGGTAGACTCAAGTTCTACTGTGTTCGCACTCGTGGGTTCAAATCCCACCGCTGACACGTAGGCACCGACCACTGGACGTTACCTGCTGCTCAGCAAGAACGAAACGGCAGCATGTGAGACACTGGCCAGCACTAAGCGAGGCAGTAAGCACGACAAGTGCTGAAATCTTTGGACGACTTCGGCGTCTTGTGCGCGTATGCAGAAGTCGTATCGTCAATCCTCTGGCAAGTGCCACTGATGCTTCTGTAAAGGTAGTCTCCGACGGGACTCGAACCCGCAATCTCCCGCTTCGTAGGCGGATGCCTTATCCATTGGGCCACGGGGACGCTCACAAGTGACGCACCGCAACCAGCCCAAAATGGGCCTTGCCGGAGATCGATTCCGGGACCTCTCGCACCCTAAGCGAGAATCATGGTATCCACCCAATCAGTAAAAGATTTTCGCAAGGTATACGTGTTGCGACCTGTAGAGTGGAAACGCCACATCAGGATTCTGGCACGTGATCCTCCCACTATCAGAAGCGAAGGTTTTCCCCTGCTCTGTTATCCAGTCTGGGGCGGTGCACCGTTCCTTAGTGACCTTGGTGTGAACTCTCACGGGAGCTCACCACAATGTCGACTCCTGGTTTGAGACGGGCGCGCCATCCACACCCTGTGGATAGTGTCGCCACCACACGTGTCACAACCCTCGTACCTCACTACCTGGCAGAAGCGTTCCGTTACAAGTTGGCGCCACCCCACCCGGTGATGCATAGAGCCTGTTCGCACTGTGTGTCGTGTGATGTGTCGTGGTTGTTGTGTTGTTGTGTGTTGTTTGTTTTTGTTTGTCCTTTCTATGTCGTCGTCAGTGTGCCCGAGTGGTCTAAGGGGGTAGACTCAAGTTCTACTGTGTTCGCACTCGTGGGTTCAAATCCCACCGCTGACACGTAGGCACCGACCACTGGACGTTACCTGCTGCTCAGCAAGAACGAAACGGCAGCATGTGAGACACCGGTCAGCACTAAGCGAGGCAGTAAGCACGACAAGTGCTGAAATCTTTTGGACGACTTCGGCGTCTTGTGCGCGTATGCAGAAGTCGTATCGTCAATCCTCTGGCAAGTGCCACTGATGCTTCTGTAAAAGGTAGTCTCCGACGGGACTCGAACCCGCAATCTCCCGCTTCGTAGGCGGATGCCTTATCCATTGGGCCACGGGGACGCTTCACAGGTGACACACCGCAACCAGCCCAAAATGGGCCTTGCCGGAGATCGATTCCGGGACCTCTCGCACCCTAAGCGAGAATCATGGTATCCACCCAATCAGTAAAAGATTTTCGCAAGGTATTCGTGTTGACCTGTAGAGTGGAAACGCCACATCAGGATTCTGGCACGTGATCCTCCCACTATCAGAAGCGAAGGTTTTCCCTGCTCTGTTATCCAGTCTGGGACGGTGCACCGTTCCTTAGTGACCTTGGTGTGAACTCTCACGGGAGCTCACCACAATGTCGACTCCTGGTTTGAAACGGGCGCGCCATCCACACCCTGTGGATAGTGTCGCCACCACACGTGTCACAACCCTCGTACCTTACTACCTGGCAGAAGCGTTCCGTTACAAGTTGGCGCCACCCCACCCGGTGATGCATAGAGCCTGTTCGCACTGTGTGTCGTGTGATGTGTCGTGGTTGTTGTGTTGTTGTGTGTTGTTTGTTTTTGTTTGTCCTTTCTATGTCGTCGTCAGTGTGCCCGAGTGGTCTAAGGGGGTAGACTCAAGTTCTACTGTGTTCGCACTCGTGGGTTCAAATCCCACCGCTGACACGTAGGCACCGTCCACTGGACGTTACCTGCTGCTCAGCAAGAACGAAACGGCAGCATGTGAGACACCGGCCAGCACTAAGCGAGGCAGTAAGCACGACAAGTGCTGAAATCTTTTGGATGACTTCGGCGTCTTGTGCGCGTATGCAGAAGTCGTATCGTCAATCCTCTGGCAAGTGCCACTGATGCTTCTGTAAAAGGTAGTCTCCGACGGGACTCGAACCCGCAATCTCCCGCTTCGTAGGCGGATGCCTTATCCATTGGGCCACGGGGACGCTTCACAAGTGACACACCGCAACCAGCCCAAAATGGGCCTTGCCGGAGATCGATTCCGGGACCTCTCGCACCCTAAGCGAGAATCATGGTATCCACCCAATCAGTAAAAGATTTTCGCAAGGTATTCGTGTTGACCTGTAGAGTGGAAACGCCACATCAGGATTCTGGCACGTGATCCTCCCACTATCAGAAGCGAAGGTTTTCCCCTGCTCTGTTATCCAGTCTGGGACGGTGCACCGTTCCTTAGTGACCTTGGTGTGAACTCTCACGGGAGCTCACCACAATGTCGACTCCTGGTTTGAAACGGGCGCGCCATCCACACCCTGTGGATAGTGTCGCCACCACACGTGTCACAACCCTCGTACCTTACTACCTGGCAGAAGCGTTCCGTTACAAGTTGGCGCCACCCCACCCGGTGATGCATAGAGCCTGTTCGCACTGTGTGTCGTGTGATGTGTCGTGGTTGTTGTGTTGTTGTGTGTGTGTTTGTTTGTGTTTGTCCTTTCTATGTCGTCGTCAGTGTGCCCGAGTGGTCTAAGGGGGTAGACTCAAGTTCTACTGTGTTCGCACTCGTGGGTTCAAATCCCACCGCTGACACGTAGGCACCGTCCACTGGACGTTACCTGCTGCTCAGCAAGAACGAAACGGCAGCATGTGAGACACCGGCCAGCACTAAGCGAGGCAGTAAGCACGACAAGTGCTGAAATCTTTTGGATGACTTCGGCGTCTTGTGCGCGTATGCAGAAGTCGTATCGTCAATCCTCTGGCAAGTGCCACTGATGCTTCTGTAAAGGTAGTCTCCGACGGGACTCGAACCCGCAATCTCCCGCTTCGTAGGCGGATGCCTTATCCATTGGGCCACGGGGACGCTTCACAAGTGACACACCGCAACCAGCCCAAAATGGGCCTTGCCGGAGATCGATTCCGGGACCTCTCGCACCCTAAGCGAGAATCATGGTATCCACCCAATCAGTAAAAGATTTTCGCAAGGTATTCGTGTTGACCTGTAGAGTGGAAACGCCACATCAGGATTCTGGCACGTGATCCTCCCCACTATCAGAAGCGAAGGTTTTCCCTGCTCTGTTATCCAGTCTGGGACGGTGCACCGTTCCTTAGTGACCTTGGTGTGAACTCTCACGGGAGCTCACCACAATGTCGACTCCTGGTTTGAAACGGGCGCGCCATCCACACCCTGTGGATAGTGTCGCCACCACACGTGTCACAACCCTCGTACCTTACTACCTGGCAGAAGCGTTCCGTTACAAGTTGGCGCCACCCCACCCGGTGATGCATAGAGCCTGTTCGCACTGTGTGTCGTGTGATGTGTCGTGGTTGTTGTGTTGTTGTGTGTGTATTTGTTTGTGTTTGTCCTTTCTATGTCGTCGTCAGTGTGCCCGAGTGGTCTAAGGGGGTAGACTCAAGTTCTACTGTGTTCGCACTCGTGGGTTCAAATCCCACCGCTGACACGTAGGCACCGTCCACTGGACGTTACCTGCTGCTCAGCAAGAACGAAACGGCAGCATGTGAGACACCGGCCAGCACTAAGCGAGGCAGTAAGCACGACAAGTGCTGAAATCTTTTGGATGACTTCGGCGTCTTGTGCGCGTATGCAGAAGTCGTATCGTCAATCCTCTGGCAAGTGCCACTGATGCTTCTGTAAAGGTAGTCTCCGACGGGACTCGAACCCGCAATCTCCCGCTTCGTAGGCGGATGCCTTATCCATTGGGCCACGGGGACGCTTCACAAGTGACACACCGCAACCAGCCCAAAATGGGCCTTGCCGGAGATCGATTCCGGGACCTCTCGCACCCTAAGCGAGAATCATGGTATCCACCCAATCAGTAAAAGATTTTCGCAAGGTATTCGTGTTGACCTGTAGAGTGGAAACGCCACATCAGGATTCTGGCACGTGATCCTCCCACTATCAGAAGCGAAGGTTTTCCCCTGCTCTGTTATCCAGTCTGGGACGGTGCACCGTTCCTTAGTGACCTTGGTGTGAACTCTCACGGGAGCTCACCACAATGTCGACTCCTGGTTTGAAACGGGCGCGCCATCCACACCCTGTGGATAGTGTCGCCACCACACGTGTCACAACCCTCGTACCTTACTACCTGGCAGAAGCGTTCCGTTACAAGTTGGCGCCACCCCACCCGGTGATGCATAGAGCCTGTTCGCACTGTGTGTCGTGTGATGTGTCGTGGTTGTTGTGTTGTTGTGTGTTGTTTGTTTGTGTTTGTCCTTTCTATGTCGTCGTCAGTGTGCCCGAGTGGTCTAAGGGGTAGACTCAAGTTCTACTGTGTTCGCACTCGTGGGTTCAAATCCCACCGCTGACACGTAGGCACCGTCCACTGGACGTTACCTGCTGCTCAGCAAGAACGAAACGGCAGCATGTGAGACACCGGCCAGCACTAAGCGAGGCAGTAAGCACGACAAGTGCTGAAATCTTTTGGATGACTTCGGCGTCTTGTGCGCGTATGCAGAAGTCGTATCGTCAATCCTCTGGCAAGTGCCACTGATGCTTCTGTAAAAGGTAGTCTCCGACGGGACTCGAACCCGCAATCTCCCGCTTCGTAGGCGGATGCCTTATCCATTGGGCCACGGGGACGCTTCACAAGTGACACACCGCAACCAGCCCAAAATGGGCCTTGCCGGAGATCGATTCCGGGACCTCTCGCACCCTAAGCGAGAATCATGGTATCCACCCAATCAGTAAAAGATTTTCGCAAGGTATTCGTGTTGACCTGTAGAGTGGAAACGCCACATCAGGATTCTGGCACGTGATCCTCCCACTATCAGAAGCGAAGGTTTTCCCTGCTCTGTTATCCAGTCTGGGACGGTGCACCGTTCCTTAGTGACCTTGGTGTGAACTCTCACGGGAGCTCACCACAATGTCGACTCCTGGTTTGAAACGGGCGCGCCATCCACACCCTGTGGATAGTGTCGCCACCACACGTGTCACAACCCTCGTACCTTACTACCTGGCAGAAGCGTTCCGTTACAAGTTGGCGCCACCCCACCCGGTGATGCATAGAGCCTGTTCGCACTGTGTGTCGTGTGATGTGTCGTGGTTGTTGTGTTGTTGTGTGTGTGTTTGTTTGTGTTTGTCCTTTCTATGTCGTCGTCAGTGTGCCCGAGTGGTCTAAGGGGGGTAGACTCAAGTTCTACTGTGTTCGCACTCGTGGGTTCAAATCCCACCGCTGACACGTAGGCACCGTCCACTGGACGTTACCTGCTGCTCAGCAAGAACGAAACGGCAGCATGTGAGACACCGGCCAGCACTAAGCGAGGCAGTAAGCACGACAAGTGCTGAAATCTTTTGGACGACTTCGGCGTCTTGTGCGCGTATGCAGAAGTCGTATCGTCAATCCTCTGGCAAGTGCCACTGATGCTTCTGTAAAAGGTAGTCTCCGACGGGACTCGAACCCGCAATCTCCCGCTTCGTAGGCGGATGCCTTATCCATTGGGCCACGGGGGACGCTTCACAAGTGACACACCGCAACCAGCCCAAAATGGGCCTTGCCGGAGATCGATTCCGGGACCTCTCGCACCCTAAGCGAGAATCATGGTATCCACCCAATCAGTAAAAGATTTTCGCAAGGTATTCGTGTTGACCTGTAGAGTGGAAACGCCACATCAGGATTCTGGCACGTGATCCTCCCACTATCAGAAGCGAAGGTTTTTCCCTGCTCTGTTATCCAGTCTGGGACGGTGCACCGTTCCTTAGTGACCTTGGTGTGAACTCTCACGGGAGCTCACCACAATGTCGACTCCTGGTTTGAAACGGGCGCGCCATCCACACCCTGTGGATAGTGTCGCCACCACACGTGTCACAACCCTCGTACCTTACTACCTGGCAGAAGCGTTCCGTTACAAGTTGGCGCCACCCCCACCCGGTGATGCATAGAGCCTGTTCGCACTGTGTGTCGTGTGATGTGTCGTGGTTGTTGTGTTGTTGTGTGTTGTTTGTTTTTGTTTGTCCTTTCTATGTCGTCGTCAGTGTGCCCGAGTGGTCTAAGGGGGTAGACTCAAGTTCTACTGTGTTCGCACTCGTGGGTTCAAATCCCACCGCTGACACGTAGGCACCGACCACTGGACGTTACCTGCTGCTCAGCAAGAACGAAACGGCAGCATGTGAGACACCGGCCAGCACTAAGCGAGGCAGTAAGCACGACAAGTGCTGAAATCTTTTGGATGACTTCGGCGTCTTGTGCGCGTATGCAGAAGTCGTATCGTCAATCCTCTGGCAAGTGCCACTGATGCTTCTGTAAAAGGTAGTCTCCGACGGGACTCGAACCCGCAATCTCCCGCTTCGTAGGCGGATGCCTTATCCATTGGGCCACGGGGACGCTTCACAAGTGACACACCGCAACCAGCCCAAAATGGGCCTTGCCGGAGATCGATTCCGGGACCTCTCGCACCCTAAGCGAGAATCATGGTATCCACCCAATCAGTAAAAGATTTTCGCAAGGTATTCGTGTTGCGACCTGTAGAGTGGAAACGCCACATCAGGATTCTGGCACGTGATCCTCCCACTATCAGAAGCGAAGGTTTTCCCTGCTCTGTTATCCAGTCTGGGGCGGTGCACCGTTCCTTAGTGACCTTGGTGTGAACTCTCACGGGAGCTCACCACAATGTCGACTCCTGGTTTGAAACGGGCGCGCCATCCACACCCTGTGGATAGTGTCGCCACCACACGTGTCACAACCTTCGTACCTTACTACCTGGCAGAAGCGTTCCGTTACAAGTTGGCGCCACTACTACCGGTGATGGCTAGAGCCTGTTCGCACTGTGTGTCGTGTGATGTGTCGTGGTTGTTGTGTTGTTGTGTGGTTTTTTGTTTGTGTTTGTCCTTTCTATGTCGTCGTCAGTGTGCCCGAGTGGTCTCGGGGGTAGACTCAAGTTCTACTGTGTTCGCACTCGTGGGTTCAAATCCCACCGCTGACACGTAGGCACCGTCCACTGGACGTTACCTGCTGCTCAGCAAGAACGAAACGGCAGCATGTGAGACACCGGCCAGCACTAAGCGAGGCAGTAAGCACGACAAGTGCTGAAATCTTTTGGATGACTTCGGCGTCTTGTGCGCGTATGCAGAAGTCGTATCGTCAATCCTCTGGCAAGTGCCACTGATGCTTCTGTAAAAGGTAGTCTCCGACGGGACTCGAACCCGCAATCTCCCGCTTCGTAGGCGGATGCCTAACCAATTGGGCCACGGGGACGCTCACAAGTGACACACCGCAACCAGCCCAAAATGGGTCTTGCCGGAGATCGATTCCGGGACCTCTCGCACCCTAAGCGAGAATCATGGTATCCACCCAATCAGTAAAAGATTTTCGCAAGGTATTCGTGTTGACCTGTAGAGTGGAAACGCCACATCAGGATTCTGGCACGTGATCCTCCCACTATCAGAAGCGAAGGTTTTTCCCTGCTCTGTTATCCAGTCTGGGACGGTGCACCGTTCCTTAGTGACCTTGGTGTGAACTCTCACGGGAGCTCACCACAATGTCGACTCCTGGTTTGAAACGGGCGCGCCATCCACACCCTGTGGATAGTGTCGCCACCACACGTGTCACAACCCTCGTACCTTACTACCTGGCAGAAGCGTTCCGTTACAAGTTGGCGCCACCCCTACCCGGTGATGCATAGAGCCTGTTCGCACTGTGTGTCGTGTGATGTGTCGTGGTTGTTGTGTTGTTGTGTGTGTTTGTTTGTGTTTGTCCTTTCTATGTCGTCGTCAGTGTGCCCGAGTGGTCTGGGGGGGTAGACTCAGGTTCTACTGTGTTCGCACTCGTGGGTTCAAATCCCACCGCTGACACGTAGGCACCGTCCACTGGACGTTACCTGCTGCTCAGCAAGAACGAAACGGCAGCAATGTGAGACACTGGCCAGCGCTAAGCGGGCAGTAAGCACGACAAGTGCTGAAATCTTTTGGACGACTTTGGCGTCTTGTGCGCGTATGCAGAAGTCGTATCGTCAATCCTCTGGCAAGTGCCACTGATGCTTCTGTAAAGGGTAGTCTCCGACGGGACTCGAACCCGCAATCTCCCGCTTCGTAGGCGGATGCCTTATCCATTGGGCCACGGGGACGCTTCACAAGTGACACACCGCAACCAGCCCAAAATGGGCCTTGCCGGAGATCGATTCCGGGACCTCTCGCACCCTAAGCGAGAATCATGGTATCCACCCAATCAGTAAAAGATTTTCGCAAGGTATTCGTGTTGACCTGTAGAAGTGGAAACGCCACATCAGGATTCTGGCACGTGATCCTCCCACTATCAGAAGCGAAGGTTTTCCCTGCTCTGTTATCAGTCTGGGACGGTGCACCGTTCCTTAGTGACCTTGGTGTGAACTCTCACGGGAGCTCACCACAATGTCGACTCCTGGTTTGAAACGGGCGCCCATCCACACCCTGTGGATAGTGTCGCCACCACACGTGTCACAACCCTCGTACCTTACTACCTGGCAGAAGCGTTCCGTTACAAGTTGGCGCCACCCCACCCGGTGATGCATAGAGCCTGTTCGCACTGTGTGTCGTGTGATGTGTCGTGGTTGTTGTGTTGTTGTGTGTTGTTTTGTTTATGTTTGTCCTTTCTATGTCGTCGTCAGTGTGCCCGAGCGGTCTAAGGGGGTAGACTCAAGTTCTACTGTGTTCGCACTCGTGGGTTCAAATCCCACCGCTGACACGTAGGCACCGTCCACTGGACGTTACCTGCTGCTCAGCAAGAACGAAACGGCAGCATGTGAGACACTGGCCAGCACTAAGCGAGGCAGTAAGCACGACAAGTGCTGAAATCTTTTGGACGACTTCGGCGTCTTGTGCGCGTATGCAGAAGTCGTATCGTCAATCCTCTGACAAGTGCCACTGATGCTTCTGTAAAAAGGTAGTCTCCGACGGGACTCGAACCCGCAATCTCCCGCTTCGTAGGCGGATGCCTTATCCATTAGGCCACGGGGACGCTTCACAAGTGACACACCGCAACCAGCCCAAAATGGGCCTTGCCGGAGATCGATTCCGGGACCTCTGCACCCTAAGCGAGAATCATGGTATCCACCCCCGATCAGTAAAAGATTTTCGCAAGGTATTCGTGTTGACCTGTAGAGTGGAAACGCCACATCAGGATTCTGGCACGTGATCCTCCCACTATCAGAAGCGAAGGTTTTTCCTGCTCTGTTATCCAGTCTGGGACGGTGCACCGTTCCTTAGTGATCTTGGTGTGAACTCTCACGGGAGCTCACCACAATGTCGACTCCTGGTTTGAAACGGGGCGCGCCATCCACACCCTGTGGATAGTGTCGCCACCACACGTGTCACAACCCCCTCGTACCTTACTTACCTGGCAGAAGCGTTCCAAGTTACAAGTTGGCGCCACCCCACCCGGTGATGCGTTCAGGAGCCTGTTCGCACTGTGTGTCGTGTGATGTGTCGTGGTTATTGGTGTTGTTGTATGTTATTTGTTTGTGTTTGTCCTTTCTATGTCGTCGTCAGTGTGCCCGAGCGGTCTAAGGGGGTAGACTCAAGTTCTACTGTGTTCGCACTCGTGGGTTCAAATCCCACCGCTGACACGTAGGCACCGTCCACTGGACGTTACCTGCTGCTCAGCAAGAACGAAACGGCAGCATGTGAGACACCGGCCAGCACTAAGCGGGCAGTAAGCACGACAAGTGCTGAAATCTTTGGACGACTTCGGCGTCTTGTGCGCGTATGCAGAAGTCGTATCGTCAATCCTCTAGCAAAGTGCCACTGATGCTTCTGTAAAGGTAGTCTCCGACGGGACTCGAACCCGCAATCTCCCGCTTCGTAGGCGGATGCCTTATCCATTGGGCCACGGGGACGCTTCACAAGTGACACACCGCAACCAGCCCAAAATGGGCCTTGCCGGAGATCGATTCCGGGACCTCTCGCACCCTAAGCGAGAATCATGGTATCCACCCAATCAGTAAAAGATTTTCGCAAGGTATTCGTGTTGACCTGTAGAGTGGAAACGCCACATCAGGATTCTGGCACGTGATCCTCCCACTATCAGAAGCGAAGGTTTTTCCCTGCTCTGTTATCCAGTCTGGGGCGGTGCACCGTCTCCTTAGTGACCTTGGTGTGAACTCTCACGGGAGCTCACCACAATGTCGACTCCTGGTTTGAGACGGGCGCGCCATCCACACCCTGTGGATAGTGTCGCCACCACACGTGTCACAACCCTCGTACCTCACTACCTGGCAGAGCGTTCCGTTACAAGTTGGCGCCACCCCCACCCGGTGATGCATAGAGCCTGTTCGCACTGTGTGTCGTGTGATGTGTCGTGGTTGTTGTGTTGTTGTGTGTGTTTGTTTGTGTTTGTCCTTTCTATGTCGTCGTCAGTGTGCCCGAGATGGTCTAAGGGGGTAGACTCAAGTTCTACTGTGTTCGCACTCGTGGGTTCAAATCCCACCGCTGACACGTAGGCACCGTCCACTGGACGTTACCTGCTGCTCAGCAAGGCAACGAAACGGCAGCATGTGAGACACCGGCCAGCAGCGAGCTGTAAGCACGACAAGTGCTGAAATCTTTTGGACGACTTCGGGTCTTGTGCGCGTATGCAGAAGTCGTATCGTCAATCCTCTGGCAAGTGCCACTGATGCTTCTGTAAAGGTAGTCTCCGACGGGACTCGAACCCGCAATCTCCCGCTTCGTAGGCGGATGCCTTATCCATTGGGCCACGGGGACGCTTCACAGGTGACACACCGCAACCAGCCCAAAATGGGCCTTGCCGGAGATCGATTCCGGGACCTCTCGCACCCTAAGCGAGAATCATGGTATCCACCCAATCAGTAAAGATTTTCGCAAGGTATTCGTGTTGACCTGTAGAGTGGAAACGCCACATCAGGACTCTGGCACGTGATCCTCCCACTATCAGAAGCGAAGGTTTTCCCCTCGCTCTGTTATCCAGTCTGGGACGGTGCACCGTTCCTTAGTGATCTTGGTGTGAACTCTCACGGGAGCTCACCACAATGTCGACTCCCTGGTTTGAAACGGGCGCGCCATCCACACCCTGTGGATAGTGTCGCCACCACACGTGTCACAACCCTCGTACCTTACTACCTGGCAGAAGCGTTCCGTTACAAGTTGGCGCCACCCCACCCGGTGATGCATAGAGCCTGTTCGCACTGTGTGTCGTGTGATGTGTCGTGGTTGTTGTGTGTTGTGTGTTGTTTGTGTTTGTCCTTTCTATGTCGTCGTCAGTGTGCCCGAGCGGTCTAAGGGGGTAGACTCAAGTTCTACTGTGTTCGCACTCGTGGGTTCAAATCCCACCGCTGACACGTAGGCACCGTCCACTGGACGTTACCTGCTGCTCAGCAAGAACGAAACGGCAGCATGTGAGACACCGGCCAGCACTAAGCGGGCAGTAAGCACGACAAGTGCTGAAATCTTTTGGACGACTTCGGCGTCTTGTGCGCGTATGCAGAAGTCGTATCGTCAATCCTCTGGCAAGTGCCACTGATGCTTCTGTAAAGGTAGTCTCCGACGGGACTCGAACCCGCAATCTCCCGCTTCGTAGGCGGATGCCTTATCCATTGGGCCACGGGGACGCTTCACAGGTGACACACCGCAACCAGCCCAAAATGGGCCTTGCCGGAGATCGATTCCGGGACCTCTCGCACCCTAAGCGAGAATCATGGTATCCACCCAATCAGTAAAAGATTTTCGCAAGGTATTCGTGTTGACCTGTAGAGTGGAAACGCCACATCAGGATTCTGGCACGTGATCCTCCCACTATCAGAAGCGAAGGTTTTCCCTGCTCTGTTATCCAGTCTGGGACGGTGCACCGTTCCTTAGTGACCTTGGTGTGAACTCTCACGGGAGCTCACCACAATGTCGACTCCTGGTTTGAAACGGGCGCCATCCACACCCTGTGGATAGTGTCGCCACCACACGTGTCACAACCCTCGTACCTTACTACCTGGCAGAAGCGTTCCGTTA